ATAAGAAAAAAAATATATATATATATATTTGACATATTGAAATAAAGTAAATTTTTTGGATTGTAGATAGACAATTTGTAGAGATAACAATTTACTTGAATTAATTAAATTATGCATGTGAAATAATTGAAAGGTGGACAAAAGGTATTATGCTCTGTGATCTGAGATTTGTGATGGATTGTGGTATTGTAGACTTGGTTTGTTATATTTTCAAGGGTTGAAATTGATTATGGGTTACTCGAATATTAGAAGCGCAATGCTTCAGCAGCTTAAAGGTGAAGGATAGAGTTTTCTCTTTTCGTAAGTATTTTGCACCTACAAGAACGAAATCCTACTCTTTTTTGTGTGTCCCTGTGCATAGAAATGCATTGACATTCCAAGTTGCAATTCTTAATATTACTATTTCCTTTTTTGTAAATTTATATGGATGTTTATTCAATGCACTGGAAGCAAAAAAGACAATCCACTAGCTTTTAACTTGTATATGTTTCAAGTCAAGAATAATCGTATTGTAGAATAGAACATAATTATATTTTACCCTGTTAGAATGAGAAATTTGAAATGTCTACTTAGCTAATGAGCTCTTACTCTTTGTTTTTTTTTGTCTGTATGATCATACTTTGCATAACCTCTGCTAGTCTGAGAATGGGAAAATATTTTAAATGAAACAAGTAATATTCTTTCTTTCCTTTTTTGTTGTCTGGTATACATCGTGTTTGTTCGTGGAGGCAGAGCGAAGCAAGACATTTGATATTTCAAATTAATTTTCTTCTACAGCAAAATATTTGGACAGTTTCAATATATTTAGTCACAATGCTCCTTCCTGGTCTTGTTGGTTTGGCTTTCTGCATAATATCTTTAACATTGTTATTTTGAACATGTTATTTATATTATTCTCACCACAATCAATATAATTCAGGTCCCACAGTTTCTTCTAGATCATGTGTGGGGTAAAGGAGAGACATGTAAAATTGTTTGTACTCAGCCACGGCGAATCTCTGCCACATCAGGTGGGCAAAACCAGTCTTAAATATATATGTTCCCTTTTCCCATCTCTTCCCGATTTTCAGATATGTGTAAATGCCTTTACTCTTTGATGTTTCGAGTGCAGTGGCTGAGAGAATTGCTACAGAAAGAGGTGAAAATGTTGGAGATACAGTAGGGTACAAGGTACTTCTAGAAAAGAAGAGAGGAAATTGCTGTGAAATTATATTTCTTTGCATTGAACATTAAAAACACGTATATATTTGTAGGCTATACAAATAGAAAAACTGTACAGCTAACATTCCTAATTTGTAAAGTTGACTAGGCTTATATTAAATATAAATTACAGTCACTAATCCCTGGGAATCAGCCATCACTTGTAGCAGAATATTCTCCTTTGCAACATAACTAATCCATAGAAATCAGCCACAAGTTATAGCAGAATATCCTCCTTTGTAACAGTACTACACAATCTAATCAATAGCTGTGCTGCTGTTTATTATTGTTGTTGATGTTTATCAGCCCTGTCTAATTTATGAGTTTCTAGTTGATAGGACTTGCCTATCAATTATCTGATAATACAATTTTCCATTAATAATCCTGTTTATATATTATTGAAGCTTTTGAACTCCAGATTTTTCAATAATTTTATTTTGCTTTATTTTGTATTTTATATTTCATCAAAGCAAACTTCATTCTTGAAAGAAGTATACCCGAAACTCTGGAACTCTATAAAATACGAATATGTCGCTGCTGGAGATCTGGAGATTACATTATGATAACTGTCCATAAGAAACAACTACAACACATGTTAGCTCATCATCTTAACATTTAGCAATTCATAAGGTAAAGGTGGCAGTGGGCTATCATCATAAAATTTACCAGTAAGACTCAATTGTTTCCTAAAATTGATTACATTCTGAGCAGAAGCAAATTCTCTGCACAAGCACTTATGTTGAAACAACTAAATCGAAATAGATTAGCAAACTGTTCTCCTGTCAATAGTAGTTAAAAAGGACTCCATGGTATGGTGCAACAGTTAAATTACCAGTAGTAGAAGTCTTGATGAGGTCCATTCTCTAGATTTACTGTTCCAAATAGGATTATGGCTTGATGCAAGGCCGGTATCTGTTGCCTGGAGTATCAAGCAGAAACTTCAACTTAATGTATTCAAGAGATCAAAACTCGTTTTTCCTACTGAACAAACCAGAGAGGCCCTACAAAAGAAGCATAAACCAATGAACGATCATCAGAAAAGGTGTAATTTAAGTTGCTAGACAGACGAGAGTAACATACTAACATATGCCAAGTGTGATAATCCTTCTGTACTATTTCATCATCAATATCATGATTATCATTACTGTTGTGCTCTGTGTGAACTCTCCATTCCACACTTCCTTCTTTGTACTGTAGGTATACTAATCACATACCTTAGGCTATGAAGATATTACTGACTTTATCTACTTCATGGGAAATGCTAGATACGATTGGAGAGCAAAGGTGGGAAGCATTCTTCTCTTCTGTTTTGCACCAATGGGATTTTGTTAAGGGTTTTAGTTAGCAAAGGAGCTTCTAAGGGTAGTGAAAATTATGTCTCTGACATGACCCACATCATTATGGTAACGTTTTGTCTCTTAACTCATTTATATTATGATTTTCAACAATGTAAATGACTTCTCATCCTCTGATAAATGATTGTTATAAATACTGTGCGAGTATTACCCCCACCCCAATACCCTTTCCACTCGTAATTTCAAATACTAGTATCTTTTGTGTACTTTTTGCTTTCATATTTAAAATCAGTTTCACAGTATCTATGTACCGTCCATTATTTGCTGTTCTTATCTTGATGGTCTGTTCCTGACAAACTTTTTCTCACTTTTAGGATGAAATTCACGAAAGGGACCGCTACTCTGATTTCATGCTAGCAATTATCAGGTGACTTGCCTCGGCATCACATTTTCTCTCTTCAGTTGGCTCATGAACTTATGTTTCCTTTAGTCATCATGATATATTATTTTATGTAGGGACCAGTGAACATGTCATCGTTTGATGCCTAAAGTAGCATTCGTGTTAGCTCATATGATAATTGCTTTTTCTTGGAAAACAGCTTATTTGTTAAAGTGCTTGTTTCATCCTTGCTATGAATCTGGCTTCTCAATTTGTTCATTATTTCTATTTTGATTATAATATGTCGAAATTTTTATGCTAATTTTGTTATTTTTGTCTCCAGAGACATGCTTCCTTCGTATCCTCATTTGCATCTGGTTAGTTTTTTCCCCATGTCTTTTTTGTGTACCGTGATGAACATGCAAAGTGTCTATCTGCCTATTCATTTTTCCTCTAGCCAGTCCAGGTTCGTTGAATTCCCCAAAATTTGCTGAACTTGAACAGGTGTTGATGAGTGCAACAATTGATGCTGAACGATTTTCAGACTATTTTGGTGGCTGTCCTATTATTCGAGTTCCTGGGTTTACTTATCCTGTAAGTTCTAATAATATTTGAAGTGCTGCTTTTTCTCTATATAAATTTAGTATATAATATGTAAACATCTTCGTTCAGGTGAAAAGTTTCTATCTAGAGGATGTACTTCCTATACTGAGATCAACAGAAAACAATCACCTAGAATGTACTTCAGGTGATGCGACAATGGAGGACCCTATATTAACTGATGAGTACCGAGTAGCTCTTGATGAAGCTATTGAATTGGCTTTGTCAAATGATGAGTTTGATCCCCTCCTTGATTTAATATCTTCTGAAGGGGGTCGAAAAATCTTCAATTATCAGCATTCTATAACTGGAGTTACGCCACTGATGGTATTTGCAGGAAAAGGCAGAGTTCGTGATATTTGTATGCTCCTCTCTTTCGGTGCGGACTGCCGTTTACAAGCCAGTGATGGAAATACTGCTCTTGATTGGGCTGAGCAATTTAATTATGGAGAAGCTGCTGAAATTATTAAAAAACACATTGAGAAAACCTTTTCGCACACTGACGAGGAAAAATTACTCAATAAATACTTATCCACCGGTGACCCTGAACTAATTGATCATGTGCTCATTGAGCAGCTACTGAGAAGAATATGTACCGATTCAAAGGATGGAGCCATTCTTGTTTTCCTTCCAGGTTGGGATGATATAAATAAAACAAGAGAGCGTTTGCAAGCTAGCCCCTTTTTCAAGGACGCATCCAAATTTGTCATTATATCTCTTCATTCCATGATCCCCGCAATGGAGCAAAAGAAAGTTTTTAGACGGTCCCCTCCAGGATGCCGCAAAATTGTTCTTTCAACTAATATTGCTGAGACTTCCGTCACCATTGAGGATGTTGTTTATGTCATAGACAGTGGACGAATGAAAGAAAAAAGTTACGATCCCTATAATAATGTGTCCACTCTTCATTCTTCTTGGATTTCAAAAGCAAGTGCAAAGCAACGTGAAGGACGAGCTGGACGGTGCCAACCAGGGATTTGCTATCATCTTTACTCAAAACTTAGAGCAGCTTCCTTGCCAGATTTCCAAGTTCCTGAGATTAAGAGGATTCCAATAGAAGAGCTATGTTTGCAGGTACTTACCTCTCCCTTCTTGCTTTCAAGAGAATGCACAAATATCAGCATCAAGGACCCACCCACCATGCATGAGGCGATGTTTCACTGTTGACATGTAATGTTGCTTTTGTTTTCCAGGTGAAGCTTCTAGATCCATCTTGCAGAATAGATCAATTTTTGCAGAAGACGTTGGACCCTCCAGTTCATGAGACCATACGTAATGCGATCATAGTTCTTCAAGAGATCGGGGCACTGACACTTGAAGAGAAACTTACGGAACTTGGGGAGAGGCTTGGATCTCTACCAGTTCATCCACTAACGAGCAAGATGCTTCTTATTGCAATATTATTGAACTGCCTGGACCCGGCATTGACCTTAGCCTGTGCTTCTGACTATAGAGACCCATTCACTCTACCCACACTACCTAATGAAAAGAAGAGAGCTGTAGCTGCAAAATCTGAGCTAGCTTCACTTTCTGGTGGCCTTAGTGATCAGTTAGCTGTAATAGCTGCCTTCGAGGGATGGAAAATTGCGAAGGAAAAGGGTGAAGAATCTCGGTTTTGTTCTCGCTTCTTCATATCTTCAAGCACTATGAGAATGATATCACGAATGAGAAAGCAACTGGAGAATGAATTACGACGGAATGGTTTTCTACCAGATGATGCATCTAATTGTAGCCTAAATGCGCGGGACCCCGGAATAGTCCATGCTGTCCTTGTTGCCGGTCTTTATCCGATGGTTGGAAGACTGCTTCCACCTAAAAATGGTAAGAAGCCCATTGTAGAGACTTCAAGTGGTGATAAGGTTCGGTTGCATCCCCACTCAACCCTTTTCAAGCTATTGTTTAAAAAATTTAGTGTTCAACCTTTGATCATGTTTGATGAGATAACTCGTGGAGATGGGGGGTTGCACATTAGAAACGGTAGTATTGTGGGTCCTCTCCCATTATTATTATTGGCCATGGAGATTGTAGTGGCTCCAGCAAATGAAAAGGATGTTGAGGGAAATGAAAGTGGCTATGAAGACACAGATGTCGATGATAGTGATGAAGATAAAACAGAGAGTCCTGGTAAGTCAAATGCTCGCAGCGAAGAGAATGTTATGTCCTCTCCTGATAATGCAGTTACAGTCATCGTTGATGGGCGTCTTCCTTTTGAATCAACAGCGCTTGATGTTGCTCAAATTTACTGCCTGAGAGAGAGACTCTCTGCAGCAATATTATACAAAGTAATTTCCTGCGTGCACGTTCTACTTTTGTTGTTATAGGAAGTACTCAACGAAAAAAGCTGTATGGTTATAGAAAAAGTTCTTAATTCATATCTTGTGTTGTAGGTGACCCATCCGCAGAAAGTTCTTCCAGAACATCTTGGAGCCTCTTTGTATGCAATTGCCTGTATTCTGTCGTATGATGGAATGTCTGAGATCTCACTGCCATTGGAACCGGTGGACTCGCTATCTACAATGGTCCGTACTGCCAATATTGGTCCATCGAATGGTAGGAAGAAAATGGTGATGAATCAGTATCCAAGAAATTATAAGAACCATGGGAAGCATCAGAATTCTGTCTCAATATCAAAAAGGTAGTTCTACCATTGATATTGTGAAAGGGTGAATCCGTATCAGTAGCTTGCATTGAACAGTCCCATTCTTCCGGGCATCACTGACATACACAGAAAACTCATAAAGGTACTGCAAGACCAGATTTTGCTCTGCCATGGTGAGATAGTATTTAAGATGTTTAGTTTTATAGTGATAGCACCGAGTCGCGTACAAGCATGAATCTTGTATTAATATAGCATTAGCTAAGTCTATTCTGCGTGTTGTGATCAAGATGTCCTCACTATCCTCACTGAAAGTTGAAAGGCACCAAACAAAAAAAAAAAAATTTATAATAATAATTTTATTTTTTATTTTTGTGTCATAGCTCCGGCACTAATTACAACGAAACCAATCGAGCATAAATCTCAAATATTAGTGTCAAATTACAATTCATAGTTCAATTAATCTCCATCTAATATTGAACATATGTTCATGATTTGAGCCTTTTAAGATATAATGAGCCAGAGTATGATGTGTATAAAACTATATACACAAGCATAGAAATATGAATGTTATGAACATGTTCACTTGGGGAATTAATAAATTCTCTTAGAAGAGTATCGCGATAAATTTAATGAGTTTGTGTTGTCAAAATTGTCCTGCAAGTGATGGTTTGTATACAAGTAACATAGAATTAGTAAAGTGTCGACTCATATCTACCTATTCCCTTGGTGGAGTTTTTTTGTGCCGCAGGATCCTCTTTTGATCTTGAGAGGCTTCAAATATATATAGTCTCAAAAAGATCTAAAAACATGTCCAAGATACCCTAATTCGTCCAAACTTAACCTTCAAAAACAAATCAGGAATTTGCCTATTAGGGTGGGGCCTATGCACAATGGATTTGCACCTATGCGAAACAACTTACGCGCCAAAAAACCGTCCACTTGGTGGCTAGGCGCTACATGCAAAATGCTTCGACAACCTGACTTTGAATGTGCATAATTTTTTATCCATAACTCCCATTTACGAATTGTACATAATTTGCCTTGTGGAGATATTTCTATCTTTTTACATTCAAATTTCCTCCCAAATTACTCTTGGAGCCTGTTTGGTGTGGCTTTATTTTGGATTAAAAGCAAAAAATGAATCCGTTGGAAACGGTCAAAGGGTCCCACACAAGAAAGAATTGGTCAAAAAACTCATGCTCAACTGGCAAAAAATGAGTTTTTTTTCCTGCAAAAATCTTGCCCAAACAGGGTCTTGTTTGATCTATTAGACTCGTGGTATTTATGGTTTATCTCAAAATCTAAAAGCTCAAGCTCCAAAACACCCTTAAAATTGCATTTTCAAGCTTTGGAGCCATCTTTGCATAAAGGATCTTGCACGAGCGAGCTTCAAAGATCATTGGTGCTGGCTCTACTCTTTTGCTCGGGGCTTTCAATAATTCACGTATAATGTTTTGGTAGAAATTTTAAAATTGCAATCCATTTTTGCATTGAACTCCACATTCAATTATATTTTTAATATTATATCATTTGCCATGTGGAGATATTTGAACCATACTTTAATTTCTTCATATACTCCGCACATAGGTACTACATTTTGCTTCTTTGGTCTTCTGATGTTTGATCCATCACTTCAACTTGTCATTATTACTTCCATCGACTTTTGTTACATCTAGAGTTTCTCTTCAATACCTTAGCCACCTTTCCTTGTGTTCAAGTCCCCGTTTTTTGAATATTTCATCTTTCAATCCTTTTAACGTCCAAAATCACTTCGTTTTCCTTTAGCCATCCTTAAATTGCGGTCGTCCTACAAACATCAAATACAATATAAAGTAAGTAAAAATTTTGTTCAATTAATTAAAATTAAATAAATCTTTAAATTTAAATAAAAGTATAAAATATTCTTATTTAATATCAATTTAATAAAAAAGTTTACTAAACTATAATATACGTTGCTTGATCACAAATCAAATATTGTCTCTGAGATCAACGTTGTAACTAAATGATAAAATATTAAATGAAGGCTAAAATGGTAATTGTGGCAATTGAGGGTCAATAAGGGAATATGGTTGGTGTCCATATCCATTTCTAGGTATTCCACATACTGATTATGTTGGACTTATACTATTTATATAAAATTATTTAATTGAAGTTACGAATACGTGAAATTAGCATATAATTGAATTATTGAAGTTAAATTACGCATATTTATTAGATTTTCAGCTAAAACATGTTTAGTCAAGCTTAAATGCACATTCTTTATAGCATATAAGGTGCTTAGAATGTCGGGATGTCAAATGGTTACGATGACAAGTTTGATCACTCTACAACTAGACCTAGTTCAATTTCGTTAAGTTTGAACCGTTCTATTTGAAAAAATATAATTCGGGTTAGGCTTAAATGATCCACAAACCTAGGAATGGCAGCAGGGCAGGGCGTGGTGGGGTCGGATTAAATAACTCTGTTGCTAAATTTTCTTAATTATTTTTCGATTGAACTTTAAAATGGTTGCCATTCAATTTTCCCAAATGTTTTACTTTCTATTGGACTTTAAAAGTTATTCGAGTTGTCGTTAAATTTATCAAAATATTATCTTATTTTTTACTGTTTAAAAAGTTAACGGACTTGATGCAACGGACTTGATGAACTTACAGAAATGTTATCCATTTGTCATTTCAACTACTAGAATATCAAATCAGTTAACTTCTAAAACAATGACTGATGAACTGATTGGTGAAATAACAATTGATAAGTTCAATGACAACTCAGATAACTTTTAAAATTAAGTGTCAACTATGAAGCATTTTCAAAAAGTTAAATGGCATCTCGGAAATGTTTTAAAATTCATTTACAATTAAAATCTTCCATTTTCAATTGGTTCCCATCATTATTTTTCTACTTATTTAGCCCTGTTTGTTTTAAATTGTTTTAACGGGAAAATCAATTTTTTTTACTGTTTTCTTCAAAACATTGGGGGCCACTACGAGAGAAAGAGGTCAAAGATTGCAGCTACATTACTGTAACAACGATCTGCTTAAAAGTGAAAACAAACATGCCCTTAATTAACATTAGCAATACGNAATTATTATTTGCGACTGAAAAATAATATGTGACTAATTAAATTATAAATATGTGACCGGAATGACTGCCGAAATAGTCGCCGGAATGGTCGCCGGAGAAGAGTGGTGGTCGAAATGGTCGCCGGAACGATCGCCGAAAAAAAGTGGTTGTCGGAATGGTCGTCAGAATAGTCCCGGAGTAGTAGGGGTGGTGCAAGTGGGGTTGATATATTATATTATATTAAAAAAAAACTGATTTTTGAATTTTTAAACTATAAACCTGATTTTCGATGTTGCAATCAAAAGGTCAAAGTGGAATTCGTTTTCCTCGAATGTGACATTTTTCATAAAAAAATGTGATAATTAAACAGAGCCTAATAGTCAGGCTAAATGCATCCGGTGAACCAACACGTGAAGCAGTTCGAGTCAAAACTAGTTTGATCTGATTTTCAATAGAATGGGTCACCCCGAACCCAAACTACTACTAGATGGTGTAAGGTGGCCGGGAGAGGTCTCTTCATCCGATTTCGTAGTCCAAACAAAACAGACGATAGTTAAATAACAGATTAAATATCTCGGTTGCTACTAAATTTTCTTAATTATTTTTCGATTGAACTTTAAAATGGTTGCCATTCAATTTTCCCAAATATTTTACTTTCTATTGAATTTTAAAAGTTATTCGAGTTGTCATTAAATTTATCAAAATATTATCTTATTATTTACCATTTAAAATGTTAACGGACTTGATGAACTTACAGAAATGTTATTCACTTGTCGTGTCAACAGCCAGATTATCAAATCAGTTAACTTCTAAAACAACGATTGATGAAGTGATGGGTGAAATAACAATTGATAAGTTCAGTGACAACTCATGTAACTTTTAAAATTAAGTGTCAACTATGAAGCATTTTCAAAAAGTTAAATGGCATCTCGAAAATATTTTAAAATTCATTTACAATTAAAATCTTTCATTTTCAATTGGTTCCCATCATTATATTTCTACTTATTTAGCCCCTGTTTGTTTTAAATTGTTTTAACGTGAAAATCAATTTTTTTACCGTTTTCTTCAAAACATTGGGATCCACTATGAGAGAAAGAGGTCAAAGATTGCAGCTACATTACTGTAACAACGATCTGCTTAAAAGTGAAAACAAACAGGCCCTTAATTAACATTAGCAATACGGGGGGCTTGTAGAATTGACTTTTTCATGATCCCTTCAATTAACTGCAAAGTCCAAACTATGGTTTGCTGAGTTGTTTACAATAATATATTAGTCATGTTGCTTTTCCTTGTGGAAGTACTCCACCTGCTTGCTTCTCCATCAGTTCAACACAGTTGACCTTCAAATTTTGCCAATGGAATTTGAGATGATAGTTTCTTTGCCTCTAATCTCGAAATTTGATTGTTCGTTTGAGCCAATGACTCTGATATCATTTTGAGATTTGATATTTCTTCTTAAAAAATTAATCTTTTTAAAAGAAATAGTCAGAATTGTTATGCGGAGACTTAATAACAAGTTTGTGTGGTGGACAAACACTAATTAACAAATCTGTGATCTCATATTAAAACTTGCCTTGCCACGACAAAAATATTACCTCATTTCTATCTCCAGGCTTCCCTTCTTAGACCATTCTTCTTAATTTTGTTTTCTGTTTCAAAATTTGAGTGTATATCATTTAAATCTTGTCTTTAATGTAACGGACGAGTGATGCTGCCCAGTTTTAGTAATTCCGATCATGACTTACCGAAGAAATCCAATACACTGGAACTCAGAAACAGTACCTTTTCCTTCATCAAATCTCTCTTTTCTCTGAAAAACTGTGCATGGATTGTGTTAACAATACTCGTACAGTTGCTGATTGTAGTATTCATGAACCGGGCTTCGCTATGGCCATCGACTCTACCAGCAATCCGGGACAACTTTCAGGCTCCTCCACATGAAAAAGACTGTGAATTCGGAAGAGTATATGTTTATGATCTTCCACCAGTTTTAAACAAAGAGCTTATTGAGAATTGCCAGGACTTGGACCCTTGGCCATGGAGTTCCAAGTACTGCAGTGCCGTGTCAAACGGAGGTTTTGGTCCGAGTGCTACTGGCCTCGATGGCATAGTTCCCGAAAATCTTATCCCGGCGTGGTACTGGACCGAGATGTATGCTGCTGAAGTCATTTACCATGAAAGGATTTTGAGTTACAAGTGTAGAACAACAAATCTAGATGAGGCAACAGCCTTTTACATTCCATTTTATGTAGGACTCGCAGTTGGGAAGTATTTGTGGTTTAATCATACTGCAGATGATCGTGATCGACATAGCTTGATCATGCTGAATTGGGTTAAGGATCAACCATCCTGGAAGAGAACCAATGGCTCTGATCATTTCATTATGCTAGGCAGATTAACTTGGGATTTTCGAAGATTGCATGATAGTGACACTGAATGGGGAACAAGCTTCCTTTACATGCCCTTGATGAAAAATATCTTGCATTTAACTGTTGAAAGAAGTCAGTGGGATGAACTAGAATTCAGTGTACCTTATCCTACAGCATTCCACCCTCGATTCCAATCTGATATCCAGCAATGGCAGAGCTATATCCGGGCCAGAAAACGTGCAAGCCTTTTTTGTTTTGTTGGGGCTACGCGTAAAAGTTTCAAGAATGATTTTCGAGGGCTTTTAATGAATTATTGCAAGAATGAATCAGACTCCTGCAGGCTTGTGGATTGTTCAGTAACACACTGCTATGATGGTGCACCAGTAATTCTCAAAACGTTTCTTGATTCAGATTTTTGTTTGCAGCCAAAAGGGGATGGTTTCACAAGAAGATCTACATTCGATTGCATGCTGTTTGGTGCAATTCCAGTATACTTTTGGGAGGGAAGTTTTAAAGATCAGTACAAATGGCACTTACCAGTAGCAGCAGAGGCTTATTCTGTGTTTGTTGATAATAATGAAGTGAGAAATGGTACTGATATTAGAAGTGTGTTGGAAAGGTACAGTAGAGAGGAGGTGAATAAAATGAGAGAGACAATTATCGATTTCATGCCCAAGTTTTTGTATGCAAGTGCAAATGCGGACTTGGGGAATGTTAAAGACGCGTTTGATAT